TGGCACACGAGCAATTAGTCTCGGTGGCGGATGGGACCCCGACGCCAACGGATGGTGTTCAACAAGCTGTGGGAGGGAATTCAAAACGGCCGAGCCAACGTACGGAGCTTTTGTTCCAAAGGATCAAGGCTACTAATAAGAGGTATATACCCGTAAACTAAAAAGTAGTTAGCGAATCTAAACATACTTTAACCTTAGCAAATGGCTCTGTACTTAGGAAAAGCGGAGTTGCCGGGAAAGTGATAAATCCAAATGCGCCGAAAATTTCAGAAAACGTGCCAAAACCCCCCACAATGAGTGCGGTGTAACGTCGAGCGGAGCTAAAACGGGCACAAGAAGAGCAGGCTGCGGGGACAAGTGCCCGGAGAACAATTGAAGCTGGAACGCGAGCTAAGTCGCAAAATTGTGATTACGAGGACGAAGCAGATTCGGACTCAGAGTACGAGCCATTGAGGATTTTGCGATACGCCGGACAAAACCAGGATACGCCAGTTATTGAACCTAATCGGGGAGATGTTTCGAATGCACCATCGGCGACTAATAACACCGAAGGTGTTGCGGGAACATCCAACGGAAGCGGCGCACAAGCATCCAAAGGAGTGAACACTGAAGTCCAAACCACGGGTACTGGACAAGGGGGAAGTGCCCCTGATTTGAGCAATGAAGTACCTTCGGGAAAATCTTCTAAGAAAAAAGGGGAGCGAGTTCGACAGCAACGTCTAGTCTCATATTCTAGTCAAGATTCCCAAGATTCAGATGGAGCAGGATCGAGAAAAAGTACCAGAAAGCGAACAGCAGTATCAAAATTCGGCGGGGTTATGATAGACAGCATTTTCAAAACGCGAAAAAGCAAGGGAGAAGGAGACAGAGAGCGGGACACGAACTAACTCGAAAGATGGAATTATGATTGAAGGAAAATGTTAAAAGAAAACTAATATTTAAAACTTTAACTTATGCCCAGGGAGAGGGTGGACCATTGCGGGTCTAAAACTCAAACATCGATTTAATGGATAAATTTTTTAAACTTCTATTTAAAAAAAATTGATTTTTGAGGGAATGTCATATATATATTATCTCTCTCTTCAGCCTTCATATATATTGTGTTTGCTTGGCGCCATTGGTACTGGCCATGTGTTTGGTGCGGTTAACAATTAATTAGTACCTGCCAGTTATAGTTACGTACGTTGGTGATTTGAGTTTGTTGCTTAACGATTGAGTCTGGAATTCAGTCAGTATTTATTCAGTGAAATTTACGGTATAGAAATCTGCGTTTTTCACAATGCAGTTTCTAAGACCAAAAAAATATATTTTAAAGTCTAGAAAATGGATTTTTTGCGGTAAAAAATCAGAATATAATCTATTCAGAAGCTGTATGAAATTGATTCTAATCCATTGTAATGCATTTTCTAAGAAGCCAAAAAAAATCGATTTTGTCTTAAAATGGATTATATTGTCTAAAACATTGATTTTATTTACCTCTAGTAGCATGCTTTTTTTAAAAGTTTTTTCTTCAATTTCATCCCCTCTATCCCCAGTCTAACACCAAGGATATAGTTCCGAATGCATAATGAAAAAACAACAGAGAAGCCTATATTCTGCTTTGAGCAAAAATAAACTATCACTGTTGATTTTAAACAAGATCTATCAGTTTTGGTGTTATTTCGGAGAAAGTTCAGCGATTTTCTAGTTTTTTCTTCAATTTCATCCCCCACAACAACTACCAACTCACATGATCAAAATCGAGCACAAACTCGAGCTCTTTCATACAAAGGCTAGAATTTGTCTAAAAAATAAGTAGATACTGGGTTTTTCTATTTTCGGGAAAAAAATCTTTTTTTGCAGTTTTTTCTTCGATTTCATGCCCTCCATCCCCAGTCTAACACCATGGATATAGTTCCCAAAGCAGATTAAATAAACAACAGAGCAGCCTATATTCTGTCTTGAGCAAAAAAAAAATCTATCAGTTTTGGTTTTATTAAGACGGTTTTATGTTGTGTTTATCGATTTTGGTCTTTTCAACTAAACATGACACGTAACAGAACTTTTTATTCAATTCGAAATTTTTTCTATAAAATTGAAGCGAAATTACAACGATTTGATTACAATGTGTATTTGTAATCAAATGATGATTACAATTTGTATTTATTCTGTATAAAGTCTGTTGAAAATCTGTAAATAATTTGTACGAATAAAGGCACTCTAAAATGGATTTTGGTCACTATCGAATCAATTGAAAAAGTATAAATTACAAACGATTGTAATCGATTTGATAGTCAGAAGAATCAATTATTTAGTGCATAAAGTTGAACTAGCTTGTTGAACTGTACATTTTACTTGAGATAATCGATTGAAATCTTAATTTTGATAATGCGGGTTACTAATTGGTCAAATTTCGTTCAACGGCTTTTCACACGAAAGCACTGAACCTCAAGTGCCTATACAATTTGTTGCTTTACTAATGAAAAATCAATTTACAGCTGCTATGAACCACCATTCTATTAATTAACACGCAAAGTCATGAATCACTTTATTTAAGATGCCATTGCGTCCAAAAATTTTTGCTTTTCTAGGTTTTGCATGCTTTTTCAGACTCATGCCTTCGCAGATACAGTCACGGACATAGAAGTTGCAACTTTTTGATTTCAAAAAGCAAGTGAACGAATTTATTTTTCATTTTTTTTCCATTTTCTCTGCAATCATTTAAAAAACAGGATTGAAACTTTGACATATGCTAGGTGAAATTATTGGGAAGGGCTTAGCCGGGCCAAATTTTGAAAAGTCTCATTTTTAATGCGTGATTTAGCCAGTATAACATAACTAGATTTAGAGATGTTCTAGCTCTGAAAACATCCTCGCAAAAAATAGAATAAATTATAATTTTTGGGCTCAAATTAGTTCTGGGAAGCTAATGAACTTAAAGGACTTTTAGGCCGCCAAAAATTCCAGATAACAGAACTGAAAAAGCTACTTGGTCCGGCGTCAAGAAATGGACATATCTGTTTTGACACCATATAAATAAAATCTTCGAAGGAGCTTATACCAGAAAACTAAACTAAAATTCCGACAACAATTGCTAATAAGAGTCCTGCGCCTAGTGTCGAACAGTACCTTTTCCGAAACATTTGCCGGAGATATTCGCTCATCAGCACAAAACTATTCATGAAATTTTAGCCATTTTCTGACGCCGGACGAAGTAGTTCTTCCAATTCTGTTGTCAGTCCTTTTTCGGCGGCATTATAAGTACTTCATGTTCATTAACTTCTCAAATAGATAATTTGAGACCATTAATTTAAATTTTTTGCATTGTTTGCGAGGATGTTTCAACAGCTAGAACACCTCTTAGACTAGTTTTGTTATACTGGTTAATTTAAGCATTAAAAGTCAGATTTCTCGAAGTTAGACCCAGCTAGCCCTCCAAGATAATTTCATCTAACATATGACAAAAATACCAACCTATATTTTGAATGGTTGCAGAGAAAACGGCAAAAAGATTCATTCGTTCATTTGCTTTTTGAAATAAAAAAATTAGAAGTTCTATGTCCCGTGACGGTATCAACTTAACTCTAACTTAATTTACTGAAAATTCAAACTGAGTGGCGGTGAACAAAATAAAACATAGCCAACAGACCATTAGAATAAGGTCAATAAGTACAAGATCAAATCATAGCCAACAGACAGTCGGAAAAGAGTCAACGAACGCAAAGAAACACAAAAACTGACTTAATTTTTTGAAAAAAATTATATTTCGAATTTCAAAAAAAAATTTATACGGTTTTCAAGCTGCTTGAATTTGAAAAACAATTTATCATTGACACTTTTTGAAAAAATTAACTCAATGTGAAAAACTGGATCAATGGGTAAAATAGCTATAAAAATTCTTATCACTTGGAAAAATGAAAATTAAAATCCCTTTTTGAAGCTAGAAATACATCACGTTTTTCGTGGCCTTTCCACTTTTGCTGTTTAATAGCGGCTTTTGCCTTCTTTTAACAAATGAGCTGATCGGACTTTTTAATAAATCAAAATTTGCACTCGAAAAACCAAACAAACTTTGAAGCTTTTTCTGATTAAAAAATCATCACGCCAACAGAAAAGTGGAATAGGGTCAGTGAACGAAAAAAAAACAAAGCAGCTAACAGACAGTCGGAAAGGAGTCAACGAAAGCAAAGAAACACAATTACTGACTTGTTTTTTGGAAAAATATATATTTCGAATTTCAAAGTATAATTTATATGGCTTTTCCTCTTCATGTTTTATAAGCAATTAATTTCGACATTTTAAAGAGAAATTAACTCGTTGTAAAAAAATTTTGATTTACGGGTAAAACTTATTTCGGTGGGAAATCTGAAATTTAAAATCCATTTTCGAAACTAGAAAGTTCATGAAGTTTTTCGCAGCCCTTATACTTTTGCTGTTTTAGATAGCAGTGTTTGCCTTTTTTTAACGAAAGAGCTAACCTGAACTTAAAGTAAATCAAAAGTCGCACTCGAAAAAAAACTTTTGCAGAAAAAACATCACAACCTGTAGTCTTCGCTACGTTTATCCACTCTCAAATAAAATGCTGGCTTTTTTTAAATCAACTTTTGAATTTCAAAATAAAATCAAGCAATAAAAGCGCTTTGAATTTCAAGCTTAAGTTATAATTGACACTTTTGATAATTAACTTCGCTGTGAAACGTGAAAAAAATCCCATTTCTTAACTGAAAGCCGATCACGTTTTCGTGACCTGCAGTTCCTGATCTATATTGGTGTTTGCCATCTTTTGTAACTTGAAAAGGAATCAAAAGTCAAACATCGAAAAACCGAATTTGACTGAAAAAAAATTAAGAAATCATCAACAACTAATTAGATTCTTCACGAAATCAATTCAGAAGCACGAGCGTTATTTAGCTGACAAGTTGTGCTAGGATTAGTTTTGGTGTACCATGTGAAGCCACTCAAGAAAAAGTGAGCGTACCACTCCCGCTCGAAAAAATTGAGCGAAAAATAATCGAATTGCCAAGCGAAAAAAGAGCATGTTTAACATACGCAAAATCAAACAACTTTATACGGATTTCTCACTTTAATTATTGAAACTGAAGATAAGCTTCAATTTTTTCTTATTGAATATGGACAGAATAAATGATCCACGTTAAACATTTGTTTGACAAAAAATTAGTTTATTCGAGTTTTACAGGGCCTGAAGAAAAGGGCGGAGGCGCCTCCTGTGTGCATTCATCTGATGCTACCACACTCTCTTGCTGCTCCCCGCTATCTTCGTCATCTGCCTCAGTTTCGATGCAGAAGAAATCCTTGGCATGTTTCAGGGCTTCTATCTCTTTCTCTTCTCGCTTTAAATCAGCCTTCCGTTTTCTTTCTGCAACCCAGTCGTTGAAGCACTTTTTACTGTACAGTACACAGCACGATATGCTGCAGTACTGTCCATCACTGCACCATAAATTGCTCTTTACAGCCTGTTTGGGACAGTTGAAGCATATCTTGGGCGGACTTGGAGGCTGCGCTGCTTGTTTCTGGGGCGACTTATTCTTCTCCGACCTGTGTTTCTTCCATTTAGATTTGTCCTGATGTTTCTTGGACTTCACTTTGAGTCTTTGTTCCAATTGGGAGTCTGACGAGGTTTGGCTGCCTGCGGAGGAACTGCTTGTTTCTGCCTCGCTACTCGAAGTCGATTCTATCTTGACCCTGTTCAGCTTTCTCTTCGTGCTTAGCTTCACAGGCGAATCCTCTTCGTCTCTTGTGTCTTCCTCCTCGAAGTGGTCCTCTTCCACGTCGGAGGAGTCTGAGGTATCATCCAAGTCAGCTGCCAGCTTACTCAGAACACTCTGATCCTTATCTTTCGAACACTTCTTTTTGGATTCTAAAAAATTGCAGTGAGAACATATTTTGCGCAAAATGAAAAAACTATTATTTGAATATTGCATCATTCACAATCACGTTTCTTAACGCAGCTTTGACCAGGCAAAAAAACTATTTTTGCTCTGATGCAAACATTGAAACGAAGATATCACATTGAAGATTCCATAATAGCAACACCAACCGAACTTGCTCTTTTTGTGGCCGACGTCTCCCTTTGTTTGATCTGCGGTAATTTGCGATGTTGCACCAGACGAGTACGCAGAATTGAGCAGTGGTTTCTTTTTGATAAGCTGAGGAGGCAGTTTGATCTGAGTGAGTTCTCTGGCCTGTTTCAAATACTTTTCCCTTTCATCTGGACCCAGACCACACCACATGTTATTAACCCTCTCCGATATCTCCTGAGATGTTGGCGTCTTCTTCTTTTCCGAATGATCTCCATCCTTGTGTATACTTTCCACAGCCGAGGAGTGTTCTTTATAGTATAGGCGGAATGCCGTCTGCTCAACTTCGCTGGCCTCCCCGCCTTTGGTAGGACTACTGCTCATATCTTCAACTTCTGATTTAAACGCTGAGTTCTCCGGCCTCGCCTTTTCTTTTTGTACAACTAAAACAAGCTTAGTATTTAACATTACTTCTACTCCGGAATGTGCATCGACGAAATATTTTCTAGCTCAACAATAATTAAATAATAATTTATGGTTAATCCATCAGAAATATTACATGATTATTTGCGTAGAAAAAGAAAATGGCTAATATTAAATGGCATTGAGTTTATTTGAAATGACTATTGAAAAAGTATAATTGCAGTAAATGTTTTCCTAGCTAGCCATTTATACATCCACTCGCCGGAATTAAGAGGTTCTTCGTCGCTCGAATCAACAGGAGACAGCTCAAAAGCCTTCTCAGTGGCCTTGAGTGAGCGGAGGGATGAGAAACTACTGCTGAGGGACCTGTTGTCTTCCTCGTCATCGCTGTCACTTAAATCCTCTGCTAAGGCTTCTGTTGCAGTTGTATCTCTGCCTTTGTTCCTGCTGCGTGGATCTTTCCTGCGTCTCCTCGAACCAGAGGAGTTACTAGAAGCAGTACTGAGGTTGTCGTTGGACTGTGATGCTGAACGCTTCTTCTTGGCCGCTGCCTGTGCATCAAGTTCTTCTTGAGTGAACACTGGGTTTAACCCTGAAATGAAAACCAGTTGATTCTGGTCACTGACAGACATGTCCATCGATCGATTAAAACTATTCTCAACTACGAACAAGATGATTATTCTTAATGTGGCCAAATGGTTCCTACCTAGATTGTATGACAATTCGTGGTCTTCGTATCCAAAGTATGTGGGCGGCTTCCTTTTTCTCCTCGTCCTCGCTTCCACAAAACTCAATCCCTTGTCTTTATCTTCCTTGGTCGCTCGTGTCTTCCTACTCTCTTTCAGTTCATTGCCGTCCTCTTCTTCAAGAACTTCCACGTCACCATCATAAACATCACGCTTGATTTCCTCAATCGAGGAGTCCAGATTAGCTTCATCCTGCTCATTTTTCGTTGAAAATCCTGCCCTGCTGGTGACCTCAGTTGTTTTTTCTTTCACTCTATTGTTACGCTTTGAGCGGGATGCGCTGTCTTCCTCGTCGCTGGAGTTCAAATCCGCGGCGCTTCCTCCTGGTTTGGAGGGACTTCTGTTGGGACTGCCACTGAACTCCAACAGCCAGTCGTCTTTGTTTGACAGCTTCTCCAACAAAGACTGTGGAGAGTTCGTCAAAGGAGTCGACCTGAAATAAGCAATCATTAAACCATTATCGATTTCAAAATTTCCTCAGCAAACTTAAATACAGCGAACAGGAAAGGAAAACCATGATTTCCATTAGTTAAAACTGTATGATAAGCCTTTTTATATGCAAAGTTTCCAAACCGTAGGAAAATAGCTCACTTTGGTCTCTAAACTAGCTCCATACTCTGTTGGCAAAATAGTGTATTTTTATTCCAAAAAAAAACATTTTGAAAACCTTGTCTTCTCAAGGCAATGTTTTAAAACTCCATAAGACTCAAGCAGTAGAAACTGGAGCAGAAGGCTAGCTGCCCCCACTTTCTCCGGTGCTAGTCCATTGTTCAGTTAAAATAATTGTCTTTAAACAGTGTTTACAACATGCTTTACAAAACCCCTTGTTTAAAACATGCCAACACTGTCCGTCCATGCAATGCAAAAAAAAATCAGAAACAAATATTCATATCTCCGTGTGCAACTGAATTTTCGATACCAAAGCCGTTTAGCCTACTGTTTTCTCATAAGAGAAAGTTCTTGTTTTTGCGTTTTAGTGCGAAACACGAAAAAATTAACACACAAGTTTTTATGTATAAAAAAATGCTAGTCACACAATTCCATTAATGGACAAAATGCTGATAATACGACTCCATCGATGAAAAAATAGCCAGTCATTCTATTGCATACGATTTTTTTTTCTATTATGTAATGGCATGAAATTGTATCATATGCACTTTTTCCATAAATGAAAATCGTATGACAAACATTTTTTCAACCCGACTCATTTTAAAAAAGCTCATTTGACAAACTCAAACCAGGCGAAGAAACCATGAGGAAAATTGCAAAAATCTAATTTTTTTTCCCACAATTTTGCAATCAGATAAAATCATGGTTTCAAAAGATTTGATATGACAAGTGAAAGACACGGATCCATTAATTGCTTTCTAGTGACTAAGAAAAGAATGGTCCATTCAAAACATCAAAAAGCTTTTTAATGACAACCAAAATTGCTCAAAACGCAATAGAAGTCTGTGCTGTGGCAACTAAGCCATCAAAACGAAGTAGACAAACGATTGGCCACATTTATTAAATTGAAAAAATTTAAATTTGCACGAACAGGCCACGGTCAGCTTTGACACATTGACATGTTTCGACCCGAAAATGGTCGTTTTCTCAGCGTTAATTGTGCAGAAAAACACACTTTAAGATACGCCCAAAATATGCTTTAACATAGCCAACAGATAGTTGGAAAAAAGAAGGTCAACATAGAAAAACTGATTTGTTTGTTGAAAAAATCTCAAATTTGTTTGTTGAAAAAATCAAAATTCTTTTTCGAAATTTAAAGTCGATCACGTTTTTCGTGATCATTGCACTAACGCTGTTCGATAGTTGAATCTACCCTTGAGTATAACGAACAAAATGTTTGTTATGGTTGTCTCGAATCATCTTGTGAAAAAATCAGTTTGAGAAAACATGCCAAATGATAAAAAAACAACGGAATAAAGCTGATGAAGAGGTAAAACGCCGACAATACTTGAGCAGACACCTCCCGTCCAGCCAATTTTTTTTTGCTCATCAAACGACGCAATGAGGCCACTGAGCCGGATTAATGCTGAAAAAATATGTATTGAATCGGAGTCTTACATTTATAACCAATATAAAACATAAAGAACAGACAGTTTGAATGCAATTAACCAAAAAAAGGTATTAGTTTTCAAAGAAAAAAGTAGATGCCCTTAAGAATCATTGAACTTCTAGATCAATTTATGATGGACACTTTTTTGATTAAAAACCAACCCAATTTCAGAAAAGTGGATCAATAAATAACTTATTTATTTCGCTGAGAAATATGAAAAAAATCCACGTTCGATCACGTTTTTTTACCTTGACACTTTTGCTGCTCGATAGCGGAGTTTGCCTTCCATTTGACAAAGGAAATCAACTGAACTGAAAAACAAACAAGACTGCTCGTATCAGGGCGAAGCCCTGAAAATTCCGACTGCCTTTTAACGTTTATGGAGCAGTAATAACATAAACAACATAAAAAAATAAATAGAAATAAAATAAAATGAAAAAAAAAATTATAAAATTTGAAAATGTTTCTATGAAAATCATCACCCCACACGCCATATAAAGTACAAAACAATAGATTTCGCTCCTTGTAACAAATTAATTATGGCAAATAAGCTTCTTACAACCAATTTGGAACGATTTCTAAGACGGATTAATTCTCCGCTTACGCGTTAATAGCGCGAATTATATCGCGCGTTAATTGTCCCAAATTGGTCAAAATGGCAATCTTTAAACCCTCATAACTTACGATAAATGATCACAGGTGAAATATCTTTTCAAATTTAAGCTCAGGACAACAATAGCTTTCGAATGATATAAAAAATTTCCGTCAAAAATGGCTAGTTAAAAAGTCGAAATTTGTCTGAAGAAAAAAAAAACCCACCCCGAGCACAAATATTCCGTTACTTTCGTATCGAAAGTCGGAACAATAAAAACGCAAAAAATTCTAATTTGACCCTCATTAAATTATAATACTTCTCCTAAAAAAAGACCTATATAAGAGTATTCACTATTTTCTTAAATGTTTCGAATTTTTCGAAGGTACATTGATTCAGTGATTCCGCTAGAGAAGACGTTAAACTGGAAAAAAGGCTAGGTTCCGATTTGATTACGCTTGCTAATTGCAAGAAAAACAAAAAAATCTGACATTAAAAGCTCAGAATAATTCTTCACACGATTTCCAACAACAAAAACATTTTATCTAAGAAATGCTATCTTCTATACTAAGCCACTAAAAAGGGAGGAAGGCAAACTGCCCAGAATTTTGTTTGAAAATACGGAAACAAAACTATTTCGTCCTTTCGGAAACACTTTATCACTACTGTTAACACATTATTCGTGTTAGTAATTTTTCCTTGCTAAGTCATTTTAAGCTAGTGCATATTGCAATACTCACTTAGTAATTTCATCTGATATTTTAACACCAGAAAAAGTTGTTTTCGAGGCTGACTTCGGTGGTTGATAAGTGCAGCTCATCTCTATCCGAGTGGACATTTTTTTCCCTGCCACTCCAGGTGACACCTTCTTCGACTGGACCACGTCATCTTCCAGGGCCGAGAATATATTGATCTGTTTTGGGGGAGAGGGTTTTTTGTTGCTTCCATTATGATCTGAACCAGATATAGCTCCGCCAGCAAGCGCCGTCGAGCTGGTAGCAGTCACAATCTGAACAAGGTTACTTCCAATCATTGATGTTTCATGAATACAGTTAATTTTCAGCCAATCAGATTTGAACATTGCAGCTTATTAGCCTGTATTTTCACAGTCATTTCAGACCGCACTCCAGTAGGAAGGTGTCTCAAATCAAGCACAACAATTTCTCACCTGTTTAGATCGTGTACTTCCTCCTGTGACCCGCTTTAAAAAGTCGTCAGCTCCGAGTTTTTCGTACGCTTTCTTTGCTATAGTATTGGATCTTGTAGATACAGCAACATCCGAATTTTTCGCTGATGTTTTCAAACTAATTGAATTAATTGAGGGCGTAGAAACTGGAGCTTTTACAACTTTTGTAACAACAGGTTGTTGGGCTCCGTTACTCGATTTCAATACGATATATTTTGTGGTCACTGAGGAAGGAAAACCACTAGTAGTTCTAGCAGCCGAATTCGATTGCATCAGATCATTGTCTTCTGGCTACCATATAAAAACTCTAAAACGGCGTCAAAAAATCGGTGTCCTACAATTTAATGACATACAATTTAACACCGTACATTTTAAAACTTAGTCATTTCACTACTAAACAATTTAAATCGACAACAATATAACTCCTATTTTCCAGTTTAACACAGTACATTTTAACACCTAGTTATTTCACTATTAAAATTAATGCTTTATGAATTCCTTATCTTAACTCTTATCACACCAAAGTTAATCCTGCAATTAACACACGCACCATAATGAAAAACTTGGTTTATCTTAGTTATACATGCTAAAAGGAGGCTTCCCAATTTACTTAAGACTCTTATCTACAGTTTCGCTAAACCTTTATGATTACTAAAAAAACTGCTTGTGCTAATTCAAAACAATTTGCCGTAAAAATTCTGACAAAAATTAAATTCTGACAGTCACTTTATACTTTACTCAAGTGATAAACAAACGCAAACACAATAAACACATTATAATTGAGTCTTCTTTCGAGTTCACAGTTTCATCTAAAAACAAGCCAATTCTTATAGCGTCCGGCCATGAATTTTATTTCAAGCGAAAAAATAAGTTTACAGAAAACTGGATTTGCTCAAAATATCAAACACATAAATGTCGAGCAACTGCCATTACTGAAAATAACGAATTAATCGAGACGCGTGGAGAGCATAACCACGACATTTCAGCTGGAAAATCGGAGGCCCGAAATGTCATAAAGCAAATAAAAGATCTCAGCGAGAGATTTACCCCGACTGTTGCAGTTGCCAGTGCGGTTTTGCCAATTACCAACGATTTGGCTACTCAGTTTGCTCTCCCAAGTAAAGACAAACTGATCCGAACGGCTGCTCGCACTCGTAAGCAGCTAGATGTAAATATGCCGCCCATCCCCGTTGCGCGAAATTTCGAGATCCCTGAAATTTTTGAAAATTTTATCCGGTATGACAGTGGATCAAATGATCATGAGCGAATCATTTTGTGCGGCGACGCCGAAATGCTGAGAGTTCTGGAGAAGTCATCTTTCTGGTTAGGCGATGGAACTTTCAAAATTACTCCAAAAATGTTCTATCAGCTTTATTCAATTCATGTTAGTGTATCTGGCATTGCGCCAGCTTGCATTTACGCCTTCCTCCCTAACAAAACCGAAAAAACCTACTATCGCTTCCTGCAGGCGTTAATTTATTTAGCACCCAACTGCCGGCCTGAAAAAATTTTGTTAGATTTTGAGCAAGCTGCTCTTCAGTCCTTCCAAAAAACATTCCCCGAAGCACATTTATCGGGTTGTTTTTTCATCTCTCCCAGAGTTACATGAAAAAAATTAATGAATTGGGTCTGAAAGTGACCTACGAAACAAATCACGAATTAGCGCTGGCTTTAAAAATGCTTCCATCCCTTGCATTTGAAAAAAAAAAGAAAAAATCGGCGATTCTTATGACATGATTGTTCAAGAAATTCAAAATGTATGCGACAGAAATTGCTTGGAACCCGAGAAAATAGAGAAAATTGACGAGTTGTGTCTGTACTTCGGCTCTACTTATATAAAAAGCTTGGTGCCAAACCGTGAAGTTTCATTCCCACCCTCCCTTTGGAACCAGCGAGATGCGGCCGTGATGGGGATTGCTCGAACAACAAATGCTGTCGAGGGATGGCATTTCGGGATTCAATCCTATTTCAGCGGAGCCCACCCAAATATGTGGAAAGTGGTGGGTAGCCTGCAAAAAGACGCTTCCGTACAAAAACTCAACTTTTTTGATGCATCGAGTGGCCATAAGTTCACAAAAAAGAAAAAGTATCGAGTATTAAATGAAAGAGTACAAAACATAATGTCCGTTTACGAAGACAAAACTGATCTGTACTTTTTCAGAGCGTTATCTAGTTTGTGCTAAACCATTGTAAATTTTATTTCATTTTTGTTTATTCTTTCGTATTATTGAAATTCAAACTTTAATCCTACTGAAATTTATGTCAGCTTTTTTTGAAAAGACGTTTCCTTGCAGACTCCCGGAAACGTAACTAAACGCAAGAACATGACTCGTGCCTTAGCAATTTATTCCCAGGACAATCGCCCTTATTTTCGGAATGCTAGGTTGGGACTAGGGGATGGCAAACCCTTTAGCTTTGCGTTTATGTGCCAACAGTTCAAAAAAAGCTGACAAAGCGATCAGGTCATAAGTTTAAGTTCGAGAATGATTCTAAAAATAATGACTTTAAGGCTTTTGGCATTGGTTAAACCTTTTTTAAATTTCTATACCGGCTGAAAATGTCTAGAAAATCAGGCCATATTAGTCAAAGGACGTCTAATTATTTGCGGGCTTTTGAAGTTCATTGAACTATTGCTTGTTTTTGGTTCATTTTGGAATGATTCATTGAAAATATTGGCAAGGCCATTTCATTTTGGTTTGAAACGTTTCATTGAAATCATTTGCAAGGTCATTTCTATTCAAAACTTACGCGAATTAAGTAGCGCAAATTTGTCTGGCTTTAAATGGCAAAAATTTCTCTCGTTTAATTCTTTGATGGTTACCGAAATCCCCTTTGAAGTAAGTTTTCTTTTCATTTGGATTAAAACGGTGTTAAGTCATAGAAATTGTTTTAAAATGTAGCGATGTTATATTACTAAGGTAACAAAAAGTAGGGAGTGAAATTGTAGGGTGTTAAGTTGTTTAGAGTTAAAAAGGGGGGAACCAAAAAAGGTTCCCCCAAAAGTCTTCCTTTTCTTTTTCTCTATTTTTTTTGTTCATATTTTTATCATTTTTTCTTTCAGGTTTTTCTTCTTTCATTCATTTATATAGTAAAGCAACAGGTTACAGTTTATCATGGTGATCAAAGTATCTACGTTAAAAATGTGAATTGAACATATGTTTTCACCCATTTTTGGTGCATCTTCAGGTTTATTAAACTAACTACATTTTTTCGCCCTGAATAAGAAGGACCAGAATAAGAAGGACGGTGGAAATTGCCCCATCGCTTTCGGAGATACGACAAGAAGACTGGCAAAGCATGCGCCTCAAAAGTTGTCAGTAACAAGTTGTCTATTATGTTGTTACTATTCTTGTTCCTGTGCCGAGTCTATTATTCTTGTTCCTGCGCCGAGTTGAATGCTCTAATAATAATAATAATAAAACAGAATTTAGGATACATCCATGTTTACATCAAAGTTTATGAGATCGATCATATTTTAGTTTAATGAGTTTAGTTTTTTGAAGTTTAAGCATCTTGTGCATCCGCAGTTGATTCTCCAGGTGCATGTATCGACTTCATTGTAGATTTTCTCGTAGAATTGCCAGTACACTCTTGATATTTTTGGTTTAAACGAGTCACTTAATAGGACTTCATATTTCAGGTGATCGTGAAATATGTTTGTCAGGCTGCAGGCGCGTTGCCAGAAATCAGATTCGCATTTATAAAGTCGAAAGTTCTTCGCGTTGAAACGTCTTGTTGTTTTCGGTCGATTTGATTCAGTGATTTCTATAAATCGCCACCATTCCAGGTCGGTCTTTCCTCTTAGAATGTTCGCGAACAAAAGTAGTACATGCATTTCTTGGTAAAGAGACAAGGGAAGAATTTGAAGAGTGGTTAACCTCGATTTATAAGGAATTTGTTTATTTCCAAGTATCCATTTCGTTGCTCTCTGTTGCACTTTTTCTAAGGTGGCAAGATCTTGCTTTGAGGGTTTCCAGACTGATGATGCATAGCTAACGATAGGTACTACATAGCTTTTATATGCATTTTTCCTGTTGTTCATGGTTGTGGCAGGTGATAAGTTTCTTTTGATGCAGTATAGGGCCTTCAGTGCTTTGCTCGCACGATTGTTTGCATGAGAAGTCCAGTTAAGATTTTTTGACATTATCATTCCAAGATCTTTAAGTTCGTTAGGCTGTTCGAATTTGTACGAGAATATACTTAGGTTGCACTCGCCCTTAATTACTAGTGCTTTGCTCTTGGTCATATTGAGGCGCATTTCATTGGTTTCACACCACTTCCAGACTTTTCTAATATCAATGTGAGGGTAGTCGGGTCGGTGCCCATAATTTTATAGTCATCCGCATAGCCGTAGCACGATGACATGACACATTTTGGCAAGTCGTTGATGTATACTAAGAAAAGGAGTGGCCCTAGAATAGATCCTTGCGGCACTCCACTATAAATTGGCAGTTGGCTTGAGACCGAGCTGCCGATGCGTACGACCGGTCAGGTAACTTTTGATTAGATCCAATATTGGGCCTGTGATTCCAGCTCTGCTGAGTTTTTCGATCGTTATAATGTGATTTACTTTGTCGAAAGCCTTCTGGAAGTCGAGGTAAAATGACGCCTGCTATTTGGGAAGCCTTCACGTGGCGGCAGGTGTGGATCCTTGCAGAAGGATCTCAAATTTCCCATACCAAAGAGTGTTTGGCCAAAACACATGGAAACCAGTGCGGGTTTTTGCTGAAGCACCATAGTGACCCCGATCTATGGTGGCTTCTAATTCTGGCAGGGGATATCGAGCTGAATCCGGGGCCGGTGAAATGGCCTTGTGGATACTGTGGTGAGGCGGTTAGTAGCAGAGTCTGGTCTATCTACTGTGTTGATTGCAAGAATTGGATACATCAGCGCTGCGCAGGGATGTCGACCCAAGAGATCAGGGCACATCAGAATTTCAGGTGGCATTGTGGGTGTGTTACAGTTCCCACTGTCCCTGTTGCTCCAGTTGCAGTTCTGCAGCCAGCCACCCAAACTCGGAGACCAAGAGTGACGACTCCAGTGCCCAGATGTTTGAAGATTTTGCAGCTGAACATCGATGGTTGGAGAGGTAAGGTCACTAGTCTCAACGAGTTTCTCGACGAGAAGAAAATTGATGTTGCGTTGTTGCAAGAGACGAAGCTGATGAGTTCTACTGCTGACCCTAGTGCTAATGGGTGGAAAGTCCATAGAGCAGAACGCACGGTTCATCTGGTGCAGAATGAGCAACCTCAAGGAGGTTTGGCGGTGCTCGTCAGACCTGGAGTCCAGTCACGCAGGTTAGAAAGT